TTGTAACAAATGGCTGGAAAAGTCATAAATAACAAAAACATCTCCTTATTTTTCGCATTATGAATTCAATAAACCTTTTAATATTAGCCACGAGCCATGTTTCTTTAAAATCTCAGACTATATAAAGTCCTAGCTATAAATCACTTAATCATGGTCCCTGATTCTAGTCATAGTGGCAGACTGTAATGAGACACTTCAATGCACAGAGAACATCCACCATGATCCCATATGTCATGCATAGTAAGAGATAACAATAACTGCACCTAATTAATTTATCATACAAAAGACCAGCACATCATTGTGAATTATGTATTATCTTTGCCATCTTTAACTCAAAGGTTTAGCATTTAATGCAAGACCAAACAAAGGAAATTGGCATACGGTATGAATAATGTCTGCGCCTCAGCTTCCAGTAAACACATCACACATGAAATGCCAGGGGCGTTTAAAAGTTAAATAATTGATAGAGACAGAATGAAGCATAAGATCAGCTAGAAAGACACATATAAATAACTGCTTAACTATTTCACTGTACTTTGATCAAATAAATGCAGTCCTGGTGAACACTTCTTTCAACAACATAAAAAAAGAATCTTACCGACCCCAAACTTTTGAATGCTAATGTACGCACAATGAACTAGCACACAGGAACACATACAGGCCAGAAAACACATCGGTTTCTGATGTGTTATAGAGATCAAAATTTTAGACAAGCACACACTATGATAATGCTTTACAACCCCTGACAGCGAGACAATGACTGCACGAGCCCGTTCTCATCCCAAGGCGTAATATACTGACTCTTTTGCCAAAGCGTCTATATCCAACCCACATGGCACCATTTAGCGTCATATGAGACGCAGATATATGGCGCCTCCTAGTGGTCTAACCCTAACACTACCCCAGACCTAAACCTACCCAAAACCCGAAGCGTGTTATATTGACGCTAAAGGGTGCCATGTGCGTTGGATATAGACGCTTTGGCAAAATAGTCAATATATTATAGCCTAGAAATCTAGACGCACCCTAGCGGCAGCGAAAATTATTTCGCAGCCAGTGTGGTCTAGCAACTCTCCATAGGCTTTTGAGCTGTAAAAACCAAAAACTGGTCAGGCCAATCACATCGTGTATAGAGTCGGCGGGCGGGCTTAACACAATGACGGCACAGTTCATGACGTTCCGCGTGATTTCCATAGGTGATTTTCCTGCTACTTGAAAACAATGAAGATGCATCGGTCTTTCGAATCGGCTTTGGCCGGGACTCTGGAGGACTTGGAGTTAAGAGAACGTCACTTAAGTCATTCTTAAAAAAGGAAGATGTGTTCGGAGTTTTACCGACCTGATACGGCAAAAGTTTAATTTATCAATTAGCTCCGCTGGTGGAAAAACGCATGGGACTCACTCATCCACAACCGTTCGTTGCTCTGGTTGGTTGTAGCGCTATCCTATTGCGTGCAGAGGGATTTTGAAAGGTAACCGTTTATCCCGCCCCTCGGATTGAGGCATGTCAATGGAGAGTTCCCAGACCTAACATCTTCATGTAGGTCTGGCATGCCAGGCTAAATATATTACGCTTTGGGATGAGAATGCGTTGACTGCACATGGTAAACTGAGCCCTCTGCTGGAAGAAATTAGCAGCGATACCCATCCTCAGTTTGTGTACATGCGGTTACAAGAGCCATCTCATTTCTAGAGGCTTCTGTGAGACACTAAGCTCAAGAGAGGAGGGGGGAAAGGGGGTGCGGTCAGACAGACTGTGGCACCATACCTAATTTGCAGACTGCCATAGACACACACACACACACACACACACACACACACACACATACAATGGTCTCCAGGCAACAACAGTAAAGTCAGTCTGCTTTTACAAACAGTTCTCCTTGATTAAGGGTGTTGTAAAGAGGAATATAGACTGAAAAGCATCATATGAAACATTGATAAGATTATAAGACAAACATAAAATTTCCAATTACATTAGCACTGCATGGCAGGAGGATTTAGAGCTGTCTTCCATCCACCGTGATACGTAACATATGATAGTCTGACCCCCAAATGAAACGCATATTATGCTCTTTTTATCTCACTGTAGGATCGGTGCAATGCCCTCTTATTCCACTGCAGTGTGGCTTTGTAATCACAAGACGGCAGCACCCATTGGTCACAAACGTAGCAGACACCAAACTGACCTGAACCACACGGGGAGGCTTTGTTCTGAACACTTCAGCCCAAAGCATTGATGACGTAATGACTTCAACAGATACAAACAAATGACGTACTCATTCACTAATACACTGAAGTCAATAACTATTTATTTAAAGACAAAACTAACGTTAATCATTTAACATTTATTAAAAATTAATTATTGATTAATTTAATTGTTTAATAATCATATAAACAATAATTCATGTTTAAAGCAATATTCTGAACTCCCCCCCCCCCCCCATTCTTTTTTTGTTTGTTTGTCTGTTTCTAGTGAAAATACGACAAATAGTGACAGTGCCGCTGCTAGCCATTTTGGTGCCCTAAGCATAATTCCTTTATGATGCCCCCCCCCCCTCCTCTCCTCATCAGCATCACACTCTTTTTCTCTTTGTTTTTATCTTGCCCTGTCTCTTCCCCTCCTAAAGTTGGCTTTTTTAATTTACTAAAGGTTACAATTTGTATTTTATTGTCAATATGTACACATTCATTATAAATCCTGTGCCTAACATGATGAAAACGGCTTTGTTCATGTTTCTTGTCTCCTCACAATGACAGTAGCCTAAACTATTACACTATAGGCTACATGTTACATAGGCCTATTTTCAGTTCAAAATGGCGAAATTAGACAAAACTATATTAGTTTGCCTAATTATTTTTTGTCATTCGTTTAACATTTATGACCTAAAAAAAACTGTCAAATAAAGTTAAGTTTAGCTACTTACATCTTATCTCGCACTTGACCGTACACTGAAGCGTCGAGTTGCACTGTTCAAATTCGCGCTCAGCGTCTGTGAACATAAAGCCCGCCTACTTTGATTTGATTGGTCATCTCAAATATTCTGACATTGACGAGCAGTGACAGACCAATGAGGCTCAGATGAACACACGAACACACACACACACACGCACACACACTGTCCTGTGTTTCTGACGTGCTCTCTGTCTCTGCTCGGCGCCGCTGCGGAATGAAGAGGAAGAACGCGCTGAATCTGATTATAACAAGAAGTTTGATGATTGGTTTTTCATTAGGCTATTTTTGGTGCCCCCTCAGCACTTGGTGCCCTACGCACAGCGCGTGATGCGCGTGGTGGGAGCGGCGGCGCTGAATAGTGATATACAAAGTCTACGGTTACTTATATCCCTCACTACTGGGATGTGTTCCAATCACTAAAAGAATGAAAATCTGTGGGTTTTACAATCCAGACTGTTGTAGGTCAGCCAGATCTTCTATAATAATTTTTCAGTTTCACACAAGATATTTCCACTGAGTTCTGCCGAACCCTGAGGACACAACAGCAGATGCAGGGATCAGTCAGGTGCGAAATAAAATCTAAAACATTAGTCACCTAACTAAAGACACAGGGGACTGTGTGAGAAATGTGTGTTGTAAAATTGATATAGGCTAAAATTTCATGTGCATGACCTTCTGGAGGTCTGGAGATGATTAGAAATGTTATATCACACTGTGTTGTATTTTTCTGGACTGATGCTGTTGGATGACGAGGGATCTTAGTGAAAAAGCAGAATTGACACATGAAGTAAACAGTTGAGCGGGAAATGTCTCTATGAAACCTGAGTCCATTGTATTACTTTGAGTATTCTCACACATCAGAACTGCTGGGTCACACAAAAACCGTCATTATCCTAAATTTAGTAATAGCAGTATTTAGTATTCTTACCTGGCTAGATCAACACTAATTATATTGACATGCATTTTAATGGAGCTACAGAGAGTTGTGTTATTGAGCTCCAGGCTTCATCTGTCTTATACTACAATTCATTTATATAATGTTAGGAAAATATTAGCTGTAAACTGTCAGCTGGCCTGTGCATGCCCAGGATTGAGGCATTGAAATGTGTTTTTTCCTGCTTTTAAAGCCAAAGGGAGTTTCCTCCTAGAAGGGTCAGGGTGAGGCCAATAAGTGTGAGTCAGTTGTTTTATTTAATTGAAGTGCATCACAGACTTCTGGCCTTAAAGTGACAGTTCACCCAAAACATTTCAATTCAGCCATCATTTACTCACCCTCATTCCAAACCTGTATGATTTTCTTTCTTCAGTGGAATACTATTTTGAGAAATAGTATTTTTTGGTACAAACAGGGCTGTCGCTAGTAGGGTGAAAGGTGGTTACGAATTCAACTATGATTACCAAAATTCTTCAAAATATCTTCTTTTGAGCTCCACAGAAGAGTAAAAGTCATACATGACAGAATTTTATTTTCTTTTTTTGGTGAACTATTTCTTTAATTTGAAAATGATTGGAATTTAAAGAGTAATTTGTGCAGTTTTAAATTAAAAGATGCCATTAAAACACTCAAATTCTTGTCTACATGCATTTTTAAAAGATTTCAGTTGTTCTTACTGTAGTCTTTTTACAATGTCATATAAGCGCTCATTAGCAAAATTTTGCGGACAAAAAGGTTTACATTATCTATTTTCAATAGTGTAGTGATGTACGAAGCAACAACAATAGCAACAGCAACAATAAATGTGACCATACATTTAGTCTGACTGAAATTGTTCCAGTCTGTTTTTGCAAAGTTGAACTAACAGACACATTAATCCGTATTCACATTGTGCACTTGCTCCGAAAGACAGAGGAGATGATGTGCATTTAATCCTTTAAAAATTCAATTACGCATTGTGTCATGTATACTCCGATAGACGGAAGAAGATAGAAGTTCAACTATGCAAAAACCCTCTGTAGCTCAATAGTAACTGCACTTAAATGCAATATAGTGACTGTCAGAACTTGTGTGTTGAAGAGACCATTAGTGATTGGGGAACGTGTTTACCTTTCTCCCTGGATAGACCCTGGAAAACGACGGGCGGTACAGTCGTTCTTCCAGAGCCCCTGCGGCCTTGACTGGAGCGCCTTCTTTCTTTCTGGTGTACCTCCCCAGCAGGATGCTCCACCTTCAGCTCTGGCAGGCTGGGACTGGGGGTTGTGCTGCTGGGTTTAGGCTTCTCTTCCATGGTGGATGTCTTCTCTTTAGGACCGCTGGTTGGGGCTGGAACGGTCGGAGGAGGTGTAGTGGGAGTCATAATGGGTTCTTTAGTCGCATTAGTCAGGGTTGTGGGTTTTTTGACCAGCTGTGGGCTCTCCTTGAAGCCCTTTGTGGAGTTGTGGGTCAATTTTTTGGGACTTTCCTCTCCGCAGGACTCCAGAGCCAGTTCACTGTCCAGCTCTGCTTCACGCTCCTCCCTCAAGATGCTGTACTGCATAGTAGGGTTTGGGGCAAACACAGGAGTAGAAGACGGGACAGGCGCTGTAGCTGTGGTCGATGGAGAGGTGCTGGGACTCTTACTGAAGCTCATGTAGCCAGAGCTGGGAGCTTGTGGACTAGGCTCTTCAGACACCATCTCAATCTCAGAGTCGCCAGATTCTGCGCTGCCACCATTGACATCCTGGGAGGAAAGAGGCAAGGTGGGTTTTGGAGGAGAAGTCTTCAATTCATTTGGAGAACTGTCTTGCATGGAAGCAGGTTGAGAGGGTGAGGTGGGTGACGTTTGAGTCTTGTCTTGGAAGGAGCTCATGATTTTAGTTTCACCAGCCAGGATATTCGGTTCTGATGGAGAGTCAGAGTCTTCTATAAAGAAAGAGAGGGAGAGAGAAAGGAGAGGGAGTGTTTTTAAAAAGGTAAGGTGTCTTGTAGCCATCTTCTCTGCCAAGGCACCCAACAGTGTTAGCAAATGTGTGATATATTGTTAAAAATGTGTAATGTACATGTACTAAAGCCTTGGTGAGCATAAGAAACTTCTTTTAAAAAACATAAAACCAATCTCCAATCTTTTGAACAGTAGAGTACTCTGAAAACATTATCAATGGTTCTCACCAGTTTCCTTTGAATTGTATGTTGTAAAGATGCTCATTTGTCAATCACTTTAGATAAAAGCGAAGCTAAATTAATAAATTGAATAAAATGTATGAAAGTTCCCAGATTGACAAGTACACCTACAAAGGACCATAAGGTCAGCTAGCAGAGGGAATTAACAATGGTGTAGTGGATACATTGCAGTGAAGTGCTTGTGTGGGATGATGATGCTTACCTGTAGGGGGTGTAGATGACTCAGGGCTTTCATCCTCTGGCTCTGAGAGGGTGACGGTGGGCACTCCCTCCAGCCCAAGACTCAGGATACTCTCCTTCTCTGACACTGTAAATGTGGGGCTGTGCTGGACTGTGGTGGGCGATACAGATGTAGGTGGCATTTCTGTCAGAGTGATCTTTACTGGACTGGCACTGCTGCCGGTACCTGGAGACCTATAGGGCTGATAATCTGACAGTTCTTCATCAGATGGTTCCTCTACATATGGGAAGGTCTGAGAGTCCAGAACTTCTGCAGAGCCAATGTCCTCCACATCCACTTCTACCGGTGATGGGCTCTTCTCCAGTTTAGTGTACTGGGTGGGCTCTGAGAGGCCGCTCATCCTCCAGTCCTCCAGGGGGCGCTGTGAGCTACAGGAGTCCTCTTTCTGGCTGATGTCCATGTAGTTGTAAGAAGAGTCAAAAGCTTTCTCAGAGTCATGTATCTTGTGAGAGCTGTTAGTCGGGTCTGCACTGGATTTTATCTCGATGCCGGAGTCCGAGGTCAACGTGAGGGAATGGGATCCAGAAATGAAGTCATCAGTGCGGGATGTATGTTTGTCACCAGATCTGCCCATGCTGCCAGAAAAGTAGGAGGGGTCTTCATGTGAGCCATAGCTTTGATTGGACAAGAGGAAGGTGTACAGGTCATCCCCGTCATCAGTGGAATTCTTCTGGAAGTTTGAATCTGATTTATCTGCATGAGAAAAGAGGAGCATGAGCAATAGTTTTAAATAACGTACTTTAACATAGAGTGAACCATGTTTAAACAATGATTATTCTATAAAATTAGTGTCATTATTCAGTCAAATCTAGTAAAAGAAATTCTGGGGAACGTACAATTTTGCGAAAGAATGCAAAAGGATTACAACGTATTTTCGTATTTTTTTCCTACCATCTCATATTTTTGTTATCTAGCCTAATGCATCAATTTTTTGTTTTTATTTATAATTTCCTCATATTTACTGCATATTAATTGTCTCAAAAACAATAGATTATTTTCATATTTTATGAATTTATTAAAAAAAATGAATTATGAAAAAAAAAAATTTATTTATAATTTATTGTACTGTTTACATCATTTGATTATTATATTGTTAAATAAATGCAGAATCCCATGAGAACTGCAACAGAGTGGCGGTTTGACCGCTATTGCATATTGTGCCTCACAAAGCTCTTACATCAAGTGACCTTGGGGTGAATTAGACAGTGTGCATGTGTTGTTTGTGAAATTCAGATGTTAGAAAGAGGATGTGTGTCTGTGTTTCAGGTAGTCGTTTTGTTGTCCTCCAGAAGGCTTTAGTGGGGTGTAGCAGTGACAGCTCTCATCAGCAGTCAGTGACGGCCCCATCACACCCCCCTCCACACCATTTGTCCTTGTCTCTAAGTCCTTCTCATCACATTCCCTGTCTTTCTGTCCTTCTCTCTATTATTGTGACTATTTGTGGCAGATGACAGTTTTCCAGTTCAATGTTTATCTGAAGGTCGACTGCAGTGCTATCACATAAGGGCAGAAGAAACACACACACACACACGCACGCACACACACACACACACACACACACACACGCACGCGCACACACACACACACACACACACACACGTTGGGTTTTCATGTTTTATGGGTACATTCTATAGTCATAATGATTTTTATACTGTAAAATATATTGTATATTCTGAATCTGTCCTCTAACCCTAATTCTACCCATCACAAAAAACTTTCTGCATTTTTACATTTTCATCACTTAATATGAGTTTTCCTCATGAGGACCAAAAATGTCCCCACAAGGACAAGAATTTCAGATATTGCCATCTTTGTGGGGGGGGGGACACACTGTGAGATTTCAACTAGGAATCAGTCTAAAACAAGAAGGAATATACAGTGGTTAAAAAAGAGGATCTCCAATAAGTTACTTCCCTTTAAGATGTGTTGTTTTTTCAATGTTAAAATAGAGCATATTACCCTTCCTGTCACAGCTTAATGTGCAGAGACAAGGGTCAAAAATGATCCAAGCTTGAGGCAAAAACAAAAACTTTTGCTACTGAAAGTGATGAACATGTTCCAGATATTTAAGATGTGTGAGCAGAAATGACTCTGTAATGTTTTATCTGTTATATAACATTTTTATCTTATGTATAATATTATCATTCACAACATTATATTTTAGCCTTTGTAGCTGACTATGGGTTTAGTGACTCAGCAGATATCACAGCGATTGTTGTTGAATGTTGAGCTAATAAGACGTGTCTTTTGTTGAAAAAATCTAATCAAATCATCCCTGAAAACATATCCTACAACTCCAAAACCAGAAACAGTGATTGGATCAAAATCAACACATTGCTGAACTGTATAATCTAACATGATAGGGTAAGAGGAGTTCCAAACCGTTTGGTTTCAATCATTATAGTTCACCTAGTTAAACTTGAGGGTGAGTAAACAATGACAAAACTTTCATCTTTGGGTGAACTATCCCTTTAATGATTACATTTTTAAAAAATATTGTTCAGTTATCTTATTGTCTTTGTGCATGTGTGCAGTATGTGCATCCTGCACTATCCCTGAATCTGATCATGGTATTATAAGTGAATGTATGAATGAACAAATGGAGAGGAGGAGAGAGTTGAGAAGATGGATGGATGAGTATGTATGTGTCAGTAATATTACAATTCTGTCAGGATCACTATCGTCAAATACGATTGATAATTAGCATACAGTTTGGATTGGTCGGTATGGTTCTGTTCTAAGAACTCCCTGCGCATCCATGCAGCCTATGGATTAGGGCTGTAGCGATACACTAATCTCACGATACAATACGATACAAGATATTCAGCTCACGATACGATATATATCATGATATTCAGCCAACGATACAATTCCATATAATTCGATACACTTACATCATTTTCTGAAAGATTTAAAGGGGACAGAGTGATTTTGGTGACATCTCTTGAGTGTTCAATTTACTTGGATTGAATTAATTGAACTGAAAACGAAAAACATCAATTACACAATATATGTCTGACTGGACAGAGTCTACAGCTTGCCAATGCTGGACAAAATGAATCAAAGATGTGTGGAGAAAATTAGTTCCATTTATTGAAACAGTGCAAACTGTAGCTTACAAGCCTTTGAAAAGTAAATAAAATAAAGCAGTAAAATATTTCAGGATCAGGTGTGTTTCCCTCCACACTACACTACAGATGTGTAACTGAGGATAATGCCATGACTTGTGTAAATCCCCACGCTAACGTGACCCCACTCCATCAGAGATCCTGTGCCTCTGTCTCTGTACTGCCCTACATTCACTGGGCAAAATGACTCCATTGGGACTCTATTTTTAACCATATAGCTAAGAAGTGTGAAGATCTATAAAAAAAAAGTGCAGAGAGAGAAGAGAGCCACTAATTCTTCAAAAACAAAAACCATATCAACTTTATCAATCAGTGTGCACTGTGCAATCAACATTAATATTTACCTTTTTTTAGCACACCAGGGTGACTAAGAACATGAAATTGTCTAGCTATGACTTGTTTCACAGGAGTTTAAATAGGGCCTATGTGGAAACACAAAGGCCAAATTCCCTTAATCATCCATCACAATGAGTAAAACCAAAGAATATAGTTCTGATGTGCATCAAAAGATTGTTGAGCATCACAAAATTGAAAAAAAAAAGAGAAAATAATTGAAAATCCCCAGTTTTGACCATCAGGGCAATAATTACGAAGTTCCAATCAACTAAAGAGTTACGAATCTGCCAGGAAGAGGACATGTGTCTATATTGTCTTAATGTATGGTGAGGAGGAAAGTTTGAGTGGCCAAAGACGGTCAGATGAAACGAAAAACAGGGATAAAACAGGGATAAAAAGTACCCCATGCCTACGGTTAAATGGAGGTCCTGGACATCTTGTTCAGATACATGGTATTATGGATTCTAGCAAATACCAACAGATAAAAAAATCAAAATCTGACTGCCTCAGCTAGACATCTTATAATGGGCCATGGTTGGATCTTCCATCAGGACAACGGTCCAAAACAAACATCAAAATCAACATGTCCCAGTCCCCTAAACTGAACCCTATAAAATGAGTGGGGTGAACTGAAGAGAAGAAGCACCAACATGAACTTGTGAATCTGAAGGATCTGGAGAGATTCTGTATGAAGGAATGGTCTCTGATCTCTTGTCAGGGGATCTCATCAGGCATTATAGAAGAAGACTCAGAGCTTTTATCTTGGGAAAAGGAGGTTGGAAAAAGTATTTAAAAACAGGGAGCCAATAATTATGCCCAGCTTGTTTTGGAGAAAAGCATTATTTCATAATGCGATTTACCCCCCACTTTCAAATCTTTTACTTCAATGAAAGGTTAGATTTTTGCTAATTTTTTTAATGAAAGATCAAAGGGACAAACAATGCAGATTTATTTTTTACAGCCATTTTTGATCATATTTACCAGGGGTGCCATTAATTCTGACCACAACTGTATAACAATAGGATCATCTTAGGAACTGTCACAGGAATGTCACAGAAATGTTTCTGTATATGAGGGCCGATCGGTGTTCACACCACACCTCTCACCTCCAACATTTAACAGTGTGGAAGCCATGACTCATCCTCTCAAAAACACGCCAATAGCGAGAACACACAGTGGCCTTAAGTGCTGATCTTTCATTCAGTCTCTGTTACTAAAATGTGTTTCACCTGCAAAAAGACAATGCTTGGATTTTGAAAAACAGCATATAAATGTAGTTTCTCCTACCAAACCCCATTACACTGATAGTTCTCTCTAACCTGTATATATATATATACTGTAACTCAAGCATTCAGATGTTTCTCTGTTCTAAACTAGTCATTTACTAGTGTGGTCTTCTGACGAGAGAGGATATTATCCTTTTAAACACTCCATGAAATCATAATTGGATTTTTGTGGTATTTGTCCATGTCTGTTAGCTTGAACTGCATCTATACGATACACTACCATTCAAAAGTGTAGGACAGTAACATTTGTTTCATGTCTATTTTTTCATGTCTACTGCTTGCAAAAGCTGCATTTATTTGCTCAAAGATACAGTAAAAACAGTATCAGAGAAATAATATTACAATTGAACAGTTTTCTATTCTTTAAATATATTAAAATGTAGGCTAATTTATTCCTGTGATGTCAAAAATGAATTTTCAGCATCATTACTTCCATCTTTAGTGTCACATGATCCTTCAGAAATCATTCTAATATGCTGATTTGCTGCTCAAGATTATTATTATTTTTATAATGATCAATGTTGAAAACAGTTGTGCTGATTAATATTTGTGTGGAAACCATGGTAACATAATAGAGGGTTCTTTGATGAATAGAAAGTTCAAAAGAACATTTGGAACATTATAAATGACTATAATGAAGATAATTTGTCAACCTAGAAAATAATTTTAATGGGGTCTTTACTAAGCCAATAACAAGACATTCACTTAGATAAAAATATATGTTTCTCTCTTGGTCGTTACAAAATTCCTAAATGGTCACATCCTGGCTCAAAGAAGTGTGAGTGAATGAGTGTGTGTGTGTGTTAATTAGGACTATTGTGGTGGTATTGTTGGAACAGGTGCTGGCGCTCGGAGTAAAGCTCATTTTATGACGATGTGTTAGGTAAGAGTCGGGCACTAGCCATGGCCCTAACAATAATGCACGAAAGCTAATCACTCCTGT